ATATATATGTTTATATGTATAAGCATATATATAGTACATACATCTTCTCCTATACTACATACGCATATACCTTTCATATACCCTTGCCCACATCACCCTCATGTCCCATCCCACAGGACATACAGTACCCCACTGGGAAGTCATTGGGGCGGCAGTCGATGATCAGCACAACATACAGCACAGACACAGCAGATGCCATTGTGTCACTGCTCACAGACGCAGCCAGCAACGACCTCGACGAGTGCAAGACAGTCCTGGTGGACGATTGGGGGGTCAGCGCAACACCCATGATACAGTATGTTCTATATATAGAATGAGTGAGTTTATTTATAGAATGGTTGTGTGCTTACATGTTTGTCGCATTTCGAACGGATGTCGCCAAAAATGAACTGGGTCAATATAAGACAGTCTCTGTGCGAAGACTGGCTGGGTCAGCGCAATATCTGTTATAGAGTGAATTTTTATTCATAGAATGAGTAGTCTATTTATAGAATGAGTAAGTCTATTTATAAAATTATTGTTCGCGTACGTGTTTGTGTCACTCCTATCCAATGTGGCTCAACATGACAGGGACAAATGTACGTCGTACAGACCTCGCGAAACAGAACTTTGACAGATGCGTTGTTATGATCACCAATGATACCATTAAATATCAATTAGTACTAATCATCCCAATGAATGTCAAAATGTCAAGTAATACTTGTGATCCCATAAAATATAAATTAGTCAAAATGATCCCATTAAATATAAATTAATACAAATGATCCCATTAAATATCAATTAACACAACTGATCCCACTATACACGATTTATACAAAGGTCCATTCCTTCTCTATTCTCTTCTCTTCTCTTCTCCACCCCCGTAGAGAGCCTAGCAGTGGACTGTTGAACGGCAGTGATGAGGAGACTAGTGACGCCTTGACCCAATACACTACACACAAAACACGGAAGAAATCAGCCCACAGCCTACCACGGTACTCACACTCCCACAAGGACATGCACAAGGACTCCATCAGCACCAGCAGCTCCGGAATCGGTAACCATGACAACCACAGCTCCGGGAACGAGGGCAAGATCGGTATCTACACCCACAAGAAGGGCAGCAAGAACATATACACACACACACCCTCACACAGCAGCTCACAGTTACCCTCACCCTCAGACCACCACCTCAGCACAGACACAGAGACGGATATGTACCGAAAAGCTAGCACAGGCACTAGCACCGGTGGAACCGGCTTCTTAAGAACACACGGTGCTGCACCCTCACATGCACTACGGCATAGCCCTAGCTTTACGTCAGTCACATCGGTGGGGAATATATCAGATGCACTTAATAGCCGCAGGCTGAGGAGCTTACCACCCGCACATACACCCCCCACTGCCAGGTAGGCGTGTGAATGCATAAGTGTGCATATGTACGTACACACAAACACACACACACATATATATGTATACATGTATATAAATATCTATATATCTATATATACATATATATATATATGTATATATATATATATATATATACATTCATCTATATAAGCACAGGTATCTGCAAACACCCATATATATGTATTATTATTATCATATTTATTATTGTCATTTTTTATTTTTGATACTATTACTATTCTATTTGTGTAGTGCCTATTTCCGGTGCATACATAGCTCTTGCCCACATTCATCTTGTACGTAATTATCACGTAACCATCGGTGACTTTATATATTCAAACGAAACTAAGCCGACCTTATCCCAGGCCGAATCAGACTACATATCTCATAGGTGTACAAACTCATATGATGTGGGGGTGTGTAGTGTAATTTAGGGCATTTGTACGTATTGAACGTTTTCACTCCGCTTCAGGTCGTTCTATTCCAACGTCAAGAACCAGGCCAAAGAAGCGGCGAAAGAAGCCAAACCAAAGTTTCTCAAGCGTAAATCCACATCAAAAGGTACGCCACTTTCATCTCTCAGGCTTGTTATAGTTCCGTTTTTTCTGCACCGTCCATCCTTCTGGCCTGTTTTGAGTCCCAACGTATCAGCACAGTATATATTACAGACGTGTTGTTAGTCACACTTGTATTCTATCGCATGTGCGCATGTTTATGACTGTACAGGCTTCTCTTAACACTCCCCTGATGCTATCTTACTCACGTATAGTATATTCATTTTCATTGTGTTTCCTAAAGAGTTTGTAATGCATTGATCAATTCATCTTTTGACCATACATGCTAACTTACCAACTTACTTACTTGCTTACTTTCATACATACAT